GGGGGGGGAGATAAAAATCACCACCTCCAACTCCACTACCAAGACAATACATACTCGTATGTACCCAACTCAATATATAATCCTAGAAGTTGAATCGATTACATATTATCTATGCCTCTGAAAAATAATGATATCGCGTGTTTGTTCCTATACCTACAAAGGGAAAACCCAGGCGTCGATTACGCCAGGTTTTATCAGCCAGGCTGCCTTTGTTTGGTTGCAGGGAGATAACTGAAGGCAAAGATACGCCCCCTTGAAGGGAGCCATACAGAATTAGTTCAAAGACGGAGAGAGCGCTAAGTTTGTCACATAATACGGTTTGATTAATGGATTTGCTATATGGCCGTGCAGTCTTGTGTGAGTATCTTGCCCACCCCGATTTGCTGAGGTTTTGTGGATTTTTGTTATGTCTATAAACAACCGAGCTATATCGCGTGCCAGCTGAGCTGACGTTCCGTATACTAAGCGTTATTTAAAAAATCAGATTGGCGTCATACGATTAGTAGAAAAAGATGTACATGGTAGTCTTAGGTATTACGTACATTACTATTAAAGCCATTATACTAAGAGCCAATGTGACGTCACTGTAGTGGACAAGCGTACACGACCTCTCTTTGTGCAACGTAACACACACAGAAATGAATCTATTTCTTCGGCATTTAAAACTTTTTAAGAGAAGATAAGACGTGTAACTATAAATTACACGATTTAAAGACTTTGGAATTACCATTTCTGTACTCGCCCCGAATACAACTGATCTTGCGACTTTCCTTCTATACATACTTTAACATACCCCTAGCTCTTTATTTCCATCGGCCACTGTTAAGAGGCTAACGTTTTGGCACCGCCACCCACATCTTTATCAAAGACGTGTATTATTAACAAAAAATACCTGTCACTGCCCACGCTATCCCCACCGCTCCCCAAAACGATTAAATCGTCCAAGTTCGCAAGTGCTGCACTAGCAAACAACGGCCTAGTTGCCCCCTTCACAGACCAAAGATCATGGAGGACACTAATGTAAACAAAAAAACCCATCTTGTTATCACCATTGTGATGCCTTTCCGGTCGCTCGCGGTATAATCCATTTTCAACACTTTAGTGACCAAATATTGCTAGCGGTTGCGCTTTCTGTCACTTATCCCAGTTCTGTGTGGTCAACCATTATACGGTATGGCCCGATGGACGGACGGGCAGTTCTCCCACAACCGTGGGTGTGAATGAACGACACAGAACACTTACACACATTGGCTGATCAGCTGGATACAAAAGCTACGCTGTTATAGGGCTTTCCTGACTTTGTTGTGATCTTCTTGGATCCTCAGACGTCGAGAAGTTTAAAAACGTTCTGTTACATTGTTATATTATTAATATTACAAGTTGCAAGATTCCTGTCACAGTTTGAGAAGTAAGTAATGACCTTTTCTTTTTTCCCCATCATCTGTAGCAGCTTTTGTCAACCGTTTTATAGCCAGCGTCAACCTTTTCCACCTTTAAGAGGCTGACATTAATTTTCCTACCGCCCACTTCCATGGTGTATTCCCGAGCGGGGCATAAAATGATACCTGTGACTTCCTGGGTGATCGATCCCCACCGCCCACCAAAAACTGCCAACTCGCGTACTGATGTCTATTTCTTGCAAAGTCAAGCAACGTCGTTTCGGCGAATTTTATATTATGGATTGTTGGGGAGCTGTGTCCTTTTAGCAAGGCACCTTAACCATGCTCAAAACAGCGGGCCCATGTCTATGGTGAAACAGTTTGGCACTCCGCAGTTGCACGCAGAAGACCCGAGTTCGATTCCCGTGTGGGAAGAGTGTTTTTCACAGAGTGCCTAGGTTTTTCTACTCGGACGTCGTATCCTTGTCAGGACAGGTTGCCCCCCC